TGGGAGGCAGTTGATCAGTTTCTTTAGGAAGGAATTTGCAAGGTTAAGTACCTGATCAGGAAGCACTTGGGGAACAATGCATCTTGGAATGCTCCAATCCACATAAGAAGTCTTCCTGGAGACATACAAGATACCATGTGGACAATGGCTTCGGCCTGTAAAGACTGAGTCATGCAGGGACATGTGACTTGCCCAGGTGACTCCAAAACTCCATCTTGGGGCTGGACTTTGCATAGAAGGGGGGTCTCCACCCACAAGAGAAAGTCTATTTAAACCTGTGGGAGACCCCTCCATTTTGTCTTCAGCTGGCTAAAGAAGGAACTCTCCACCCCCCCAGGATACTTGAAGGAAACTGGAACAAAGGACAGTAACTACAGGGGGTGTGAGTGATTGCTGGACCCAGACTAAAAGGAGATTAGCCTGTAAAAGGGAGCATTCTGTAACTGGTGAGGAACTTATCTGTATTTAGTTTGATTAGACATAGATTTGCGCATTTTATTTTATTTTACTTGGTGACTTACTTTGTTCTGTCTGTTACTACTTGGAACCACTTAAATCCTACTTTCTTTATTTAATAAAATCACTTTTTATTTAGTAATTTACTCAGAGTATATATTAATACCTGGGGGAGCAAACAACTGTGCACATCTCTCTATCAGTGTTATAGAGGGCGAACAATTTATGAGTTTGCCCTGCATAAGCTTTATGCAGGGTAAAACGGATTTATTTGGGTTTAGCCCCCATTGGGAGTTGGGCATCTGAGTGCTAAAGACAAGCACACTTCTGTGAGCTGTTTTCGGGTAAACTTGCAGCTTTGGGGCAGGTAATTCAGACCCTGGGTCTGTGTTGGGGCAGATGGAGTGTCTGGCTCTGCAAGACAGGGTGCTGGAGTCCTGACCTGGCAGGGAAAACAGGAGCAGGGGTAGTCTTGGTACATTGGGTGGCAGCTCCCAAGGGGGTTTCTGTGATCCAACCCGTCACAGATACCATTATAGAGAGTGTCACCAATGGGTGGTACTAAAAATTGTTAGTGTAAATTCTTAAGGACTGAAATTAGTCTACAATGCAGAGGATAGACTTGAAGCAGAACTGTAAGCTAATAATCCTGAAGAAGACTGTACTTGTGCTCAGCACAGCAGACTGAAAGTCCAAATAGGCAGAGGCCCTTTGCAGAATGGATGAACTGTGAAATGCATGTGATTGTGCAAGGGAATTATAAAACAGGCATTTCTGATTGATCACCTCCTTACTGAAACATCGCATTTTACCCTTAAATTGGGAGCTCAGACCACTTCTCCTTCTGTATTAATACAGAGTGTTTTGAGGGATGTATGCCAAAAAGATTAGTAGGTAGGTCCTTATTTGTTTGCAACCTAATAATTTTAAAACGCTCTCTTGGGTGGTGTGAAAAGGGGCTGAAGGAAGATATCTTTCACAATGCATCAGTGAAAGTATTTTTTTATTTTAAAATAGCCACTGCAGAGTGCTCAGGTGCGTCCCTGCAATAACTAATTAGTGTCAAACTTTGGGGCAAGACTTCAGGACTGTTGTACACACTGTGAAAATCTTTGCCAGTTGGTGGGGTTGGGCTCAAACCTAAATGGGTAAAAAAAAAAAGTGTTTGTAAATAAAGCCACTTGCCTGTACGAGGAGGGAAGAGAGAGAGACTAAGGCCCAGATCCTCAAAGGTTTTTAGGTGTCTGATTCCAATGGAAGTTAGACACTTAAATACCGTCGAGGACCTGGGCCTAAATTGCCAGTGTTTGGACTCTTAGTGCCTCAGTTATTTTCTGTCCCAATATCACCTGTTGTATGTGAGGCTCCATCTAATAAAATACCTTTCATTGCTTTACCCTGAAACAGTTTCTCCAATTAAGCAGAATCTGATGAAATGGGAAGCCAGCCTGGAGTTTTACAAGTAGTCAGAGAAAATTATGGAAGATTAAAATGATATGTCTGTAAAATTTAAGCTTTTTTTTTTGTTGGGTAAGCTAATAATATGAAAGTCCTCTTTGCTTTAATGCTGATTTATTAGTCGTACATTGGTTTGCGTTTATGCTGCAGCTTAGGCATGTAATTCTTCAGCAATAAGGCCGTCACTAATAGGAGGTACAGGAATGCCAACTGCGATTACCTGGCACATTTTCAGTGTGGTGATGGTGGTGATTCCTTCCCATGTAAACTTTCCTGTAATCGTTCTAAGCAAAGTATGTACTTCAGCTTTGTTGTAGCGTTTTGGAATGGGGTGTTCCTGCACACACACAAACAATGGGTATGTCTACACCGCAAAGAAAAACCGGCTGCTGGCCCATGCCAGCCAACTCAGGCTCGTGGGGCTCAGGCTGCAGGGCTGTTCCATTGCTGTGTAGACTTCCAGGCTTGGGCTGGTGGCCGAGCTCTGGGACTCTCCCACCCTGCGGGGTCCTAGAGCCTGGGGGGTCCAGCCCAAGCCCTGAAGTCTACATAGCAATGAAACAGCCCCACAGCCCGAGCCAGCTGGCACATACAGCTGCAAGTTTTTCTTTGCTGTGTAGACATACCCAATGAGGCTTAGCCAAAAAAAACAGCACTCCTCCTCTCCCCGCCCCCCCCAAAAGCTCTACACACAGCTTGCTTGTTAAGCGTGTGTTCATTCTTACTTGCCATACTGTCAGTATTTATTCATGGTGGTGCTGAGATTGCAGCATGCAAAGTGGAAACTTTTGACCATCCAATGCAAAGCATTAAAAATAGTTTACTCCATCACTTTCTTGTGCTTGTTCTGTTGCATTGTCCCTCCTTCCATACATCTTCCAGGTCATTTGTGTCAAACTCGCTTGGGGAATAGAGGTGTTGGCTGTTTCATTATTGGCAGGTTGAGTGTACAGAAGGAACAAGAGCAGCTGCAGAAAGCAATGATGGTTTGTTAAAGACGTTTACATGCCTCTGGAAACACGTCCAGTCTTGAAGTGACTAAGCTCCTTATTCTACCTAGTCCAATGAGTTGGAGTACCACATTTTAAATAATGCTATAGCAGAACTCCTTCTTTTAAACTCTGAATCGTTTAGGTTTGTCTTTATATCCTGTACTGAGAATATATTTTTATATTGGCAAAAATGAAATACTAATTTATTTTTATGTTGTGAACTTTCCCCAGTACTGCGAGGAAAATGGCTCATACTAAACAGATATTGTAAAGGTTTTTACATCCAATTTGCATTAAAACTGTTACACCTCTACCTCGATATAATGCTGTCCTCGGGAGCCAAAAAATCTTACCGCGTTATAGGTGAAATCGCGTTATATCGAACTTGCTTTGATCCGCCGGAGCGCGCAGCCCCGCCCCCCCGAAGCACTGCTTTACCGCGTTATATCCGAATTCGTGTTATATCGGGTGGCGTTATATCGAGGTAGCGGTGTATTTGATGGTCAAAGATCCTCTGAATTCTAAGTATGTAGTGGTGTGGTGGGTTATTTTTTTAAATCTCTGTTGCAAAGAATTTTTTTTCCCCCAAAGCCACCATTTTGGCTCCTAGGAAGCTATTAAAATGAAAAATAAAAGAAACATTAAAATCAAAGTCGATAGAACTAACTTTATTTTTGATGACTGAGCAGTTCAGCTTAAGAAATGTAAGGGTATTTGGTGAGACAAGGTGGGTGAGACAATATCTCCTGTTGGACCAAGGCTATTTGGTGTTGCAGAATTCATGTGCCGTGTATGCAGCATATATTTGTATCGTTCACTTTCCTATTTGCTGTACTTTACAAATGTCCTTTATTTTGAAAACCCACCCACAGTTATGATGGGACAGAACCACTCATTGTGGTGGTAGAGGCTCGGGGCTTGTCTACACTAACAGTGGTGCAGCTGCAGCGCTTAGTGAAGACGCTACCTATGCTGCCGGGAGAATTTCTCCGGTCAGCATAGATACTCCCCCCTCTCCCCCCCCCCAAGAGGCGGTATCTGTGTTGGTGAGAGAAGCCCTCCTGTCAATATAGCGCGCTCTACACCAGGTGCTAGGTCGGCAGGGGTGGGTAGTGTGAACCAAGCCTCAGACACAGAGATCCTCTGACCAGGCAGGGAGCAGCAGCCAGCTTCCTTAGCTAGCTGTGAAGATTCCTGCACCCTGCTGCTGCTGGCCTCTCACTGGAGCCAGATGGATTCAAAGTGCTGCTCCAGCTGCCACAGACAAGTCACACGTGCAGCAAAGAGTAGAGCAAACTAGTGCAGTGGGGTGGGATCAGGTGGCGGCAGCAGGTAGGTTCCCAAGGAGAACAGAAGGGCACTGCATTGCACACAGGCTTCTTCTGGGGAGAGGTTGAGAGAGAGAGAATGAACCCGATGTGGCAGATGTTTGGTTACGTCATTTAATGTCCTCCTGGAAGGCATTCAAATGCTACAGCAATGTGGGCAGCATAAGACCCCATATAGAAAAGAATCAAATCAAAGGGGAGAGCAGAGTTGAGAGGAGTGGCAGGGGTAAATGTGTTCCGTAAGTGGGCTAGCATGCATTCTATTACTGGATGCGGGGCCTAGAAAGAATGCATGGGAGAAAGTCTGTTATATTGAGAGAGCAAAGTTCTAGAGGACTTCCTTCCCCGGACCACTCTTCTTAGGGCTCTTTCTCCCAAAAGAGCTTTTTTTTTTTTAATGGGGATAGAGGGAGCTACAAAGTGTTTCAGACTTACTGAGTTGGCTCTTATGAGATTTTTTTCCCCCCTTGGTCTTACCAGTTTGTACTTATGTTTTATTGATAACCTATGTTATCAGCAAATGCAATTATCCTGTATCATTTTGAAGTAACACTTGGTTAAAATTCAGAACTGAAGCCATACCTTTTTATGTTTGAGCAGAATTCTTCTGAGGGAGGTTTACTGGTAGAGTTACTCTGACTTCATGATGAGGGTCTCCTATTACTCTGGCTGTGTGAATTACCATTTGCTGGTAGTAACTGGCCAGTGGCTGCATGTTCTCATCAGTACGCTATTATCATTTCACTTTCCAACCTTTCTCTCCTAGGTGTTCTTTACTTAATGGAACATGAGGAAGAATATGTGTTCACGCTGCCTAGTGCCTATGCACGTTCTATACTTACCATTCCATGGGTGGAGCTTGGAGGTAAAGTCAGTATTAACTGTGCCAAGACTGGCTATTCTGCTATTGTCACATTCCACACCAAGCCTTTCTATGGAGGAAAAGTTCATAGGTATTGAAACTGCTGTCTATTGGGTTGCTTCCTTTTGTACTGTATGTTGGAGTGTACTTGAAAACTTTTTCAGTTCTCTGTATTTATTACTGTAAAATTGTGTGGGTGTGTCTGTGTGTAATTAATACGCAAAAGCCAAATTGAATTTATAAAATGTTTTAAAAAATAAAACAAAACCTTCCTGCATCTGCCAGCACCTCATTACAGCTTTTCCATTAAAAAAATGGTTTAAAATGTGATTTGTAGGTTTGAAAAAACAAATATAGATACTTTGAATCTGGGACCTTTCACATCAGTATGTAACAATGTTAAGGTTCTGGGGTGTCAGATTTTGAGCTTTAATATCTGGATGTATTTTTAACACAATGTTAAGTGTCTCTCTTCAGTCCACTATAGCAAACACATTCTGAGTTAGCGCTGAAAACCCAGACTGATGTGTATTTTTAACTCAAGCCACAGCTATGCTAGAAGATCTATGGCTGGCATATCTCAGCACAGATCTACCACACAGTCTGCACTTGCTCTCTTTGATGCAGCAAAGTCAGATTTCTGTTTGTAATTTAAACATATCTGTTTGCAGTTGATTTTTAAAATTGCTTGGACACTCAGACTCATAGACTTTAAAGTCAGAAGCGACCATCATGATCATCTACTTCGATCTCCTGCACATTGCAGAGCCTAGAACTTTACCCACCCACTCCAGTAACTCAGCCAGAGGTTACGGGTCTATTACAGAAGTCCTCAAATCAAACTACGGCCCATGGGACGGATCCAGCCCACAAGCTGTTTTGAGCTGGCCCGCGAACTCCCGTTGGGGAGCAGGGTCTGGGGCTTGCCCCGCTCCAGCACTCCAACCAGGGGTCAGGGTCGGGGGCCGCACCATGCGGCTCCCGGAAGCCGCGGCATGGCCCCCCTCCAGCTCTCCAGCTGGGGTACAGGGTTGGGGGCTGCTCCCCGTGGCTCCCGGAAGCCACGGCATGGTCCTGCTCTGGCTCCTACGCGTTCCAATGGCCCCCTCCAGCACTCCAATGGGAGCTGCAGGGGCAGTGCCTGCAGATTGGGTAGCGTGCAGAGCCACCTGGCCGTGCCTTTGCATAGGAGCCAGAGAAGGGACATGCTGCTGCTTCTGGGAGCCACTTGAGGTAAGCGCCACTGGGAGCCTGCACCCCTGAGCCTGTCCCCAAGCCCCAACCTCCTGCCCCAGCCCTGATCCCCCTCCCACCCTCCAAACACCTCGATCCCAGCCGGGAGTACCCTCCTGCACCCCAAATCCTTCATCCCCAGCCCCACTTCAGAGTCCACACCCCCAACCAGAGCCCTCACCCCCTCCCGCACAACAACCCCAATTTTGTGAGCATTCATGGCCCACCATACAATTTCTATTCCCAGATGTGGCCCTCGGGCCAAAAAGTTTGCCCATCCCTGGTTTAAAGACTTCAAGTTTACAGAGAATTCATCATTTGCACTAGTTTAAACCTGCAAGTAACCCATGCTGCAGAGGAAGACGAAAACCCTCCAGCGTTTCTGCTAATCTGACCCAGGGGAAAATTCCTTCCAGACTCCACATATGACGATCAGTTAGATCCTGAGCATGGGCAAGACCCACCAGCCAGACACCTGGGAAAGAATTCTCTGTAGTAACTCAGAGCCCTCCCCATCTAGTGTCCCATCACCGACCATTGGAGATATTTGCTGCTAGCAGTCGCAGATCAGCTACATGCCATTGTAGACAGTCTCTTCATGCCATCCCCTCCATAAACTTATCAAGCTCAGTCTTGAAGCTAGTTAGACATTTTGCTCCCACTGCTCCCCTTGGAAGACTGTTCGAGGACTTCACTCCTCTGATGGTTAGAAACCTTTGCCTAATTTCAAGCCCAAACTTGTTGATGGCTGGTTTATATCTATTTGTTCTTGTGTCCACATTGGTGCTGAACTTAAATAATTCCTCTCCCTCCCTGGTATTTCTATAATGGGTATTTCTAATACTGATGTATTTATAGAGAGCAATCATATCTCCCCTCAGCTTCTTTGGTTAGGTTAAACAAGCCAAGCTCTTTGAGTCGCCTCTCATAAGGTAGTTTTTCCATTCCTCAGATCATCCTAGTAGCTCTTGTGTGCACCTGTTTCGGTTTGAATTTAGTGGATTATAGTCCTTTTAATATGGTGGCACTAAGATAAACTGTATATTTTATTGTGGCTTTTGTCATATTGGAATTAGGGTTACAGCAGAAGTGAAACACAATCCCACCAATACCATTGTGTGTAAGGCACAAGGAGAATGGAATGGCACGCTGGAATTTACGTACAGCAATGGAGAAACCAAAGTGATTGACACCACCAAACTGCCCGTTATCCGAAAAAAGATTAGACCAATAGCAAAACAAGGTCCATTTGAATCAAGGTGAGGTTATGGACATCATAATGGTTTATGAAGCTTGGACAAAAACTTAATATGGAAGCAACCTTTGTATATTCATGTGTGATTCAGTAAAGCTCTTGTTTTGGGTAGTATAAATTCTTATAGGCAGAGAGTAGGGAAAGCTGCATACACAGATTTTTCAGAGCTACTTTTGATACATAAATTGCAATATAACTGCTGTTCAGTTATTAAATGAAAAATGCTAGTGCGGATTTCGTAAAGTTTAAAAACGAAAGGTAATCAATGCAATTTCTATGTCTGCTTCATTGTGAGTAGTTGCTGAATTGTCATTTCTACATATTCAATTTCATGTCTATTTCTCACAGCTATATATTAGAACTATTGACTGTATACAACATAAAAATACTTAAAAAAATTGTCACTCATCCACACCTTTTACCTGACTTTTTGACGCACTATATCAGAGAACTTGTGTTAGAATTTACTGTAAATATTTGTCTACGTATTTGTCACTAGAAGACCAATATTTTATTCAATTATAATGTCGCACCTGTTAATTGCCATTTGAGAGAGTCTTAAAGAGCATGAATGAATGAAGCTTCACCTTGTAGTGAATGAATACATTCTATCCATTTTACAAATGGGTGCACTTGGTCAGAAATGTTCTAGCTAATAGACATGCTCCCTCTCTCATAAATGCATTTTTTTTTTTGCTGTATCCTAGCCAGAAAAAAATGAGTGTGAATGAGGAAGCCAGCAGTTCCAGTGTGTATCTGTTTTATTTTTAACACTAGCAGATGGACTGTAAATACTCAGTCCCTGTCTGAATAGTCACAATTTAATAAATTTTAAATAATGGCTCACTTAAACACCACTGAAAATTACACATTACAAAAGTTATGCTCTGAAGCAGAAGAACTTAAGTGTTCTGATAACTTTTGGTCCATATTGCTACATGTTGCACAACATTACTATTTGCACTCTGAATTTGGGTTCTGTGCTGGCCAGACACACGGTTCGTTCATATGCATACTGTCAAACAGATAAGGACCAAATTTGGTTCTAAACTGAACATTATTGTAACCTGGTAGGGACTGTCCTTGAGATCTTATCTTCCTAAGTTCTTTTAATACACTACTTTGAAGTTCAGAAGTAGAAGCTTTTTAAAGTAACAGGTGCAAAAGGACTGTGGTGAGCTTCCTCTGCCAACCAGCGCACAGGTCAAACTCTGCACGATATCTTCATTAATGAGCTACACACAGGTCTGGACACAAAGCAGTTATCAAAAATGGTCATGTTAATTTGAAGATGTGGGGCCAAGGTTTCAAGAGCTGAGCACCCAACAGCTCCCAGTCAGGCAGCTAAATGAAGTAGCCCGATATTGAGTGCTGAACACGTTTGAAAATCAGGTCCATAGTTTAATACGATGGGGTGAGAGATTCACACTTGCTAAATAGGAGGAAAATACATGTATTTTTGAGCTTTAAAATATTATAAACAATATACATGTTAAACCATGACTGCAGTAAAAGTAGTTAACCGTGTCCTTTAAAATACAATGAAAAGGATTAAAAAAGTGATACACCTCTACCCCGATATAACGCGACCCAATATAACATGAATTCGGATATAAGGTGGTAAAGCAGAGCTCCGGGGGGGGAGGCGGGGCGGGGCTGCGTGCTCCAGCGGATCAAAGCAAGTTCAATATAACACGGTTTCACCTATAACGTGGTAAGATTTTTTGGCTCCCAAGGACAGCGTTATATTGGGGTAGAGGTGTATTTCAAAGTCTGTTTGAGATGGTACAAGTAGAGTGCCAGATAATGAACAAAAAGAACGAGGAGTACTTGTGGCACCTTAGAGACTAACAAATTTATTTGAGCATAAGCTTTCGCGGGCTAAAACCCACTTCATCGGATGCATGCAGTGGAAAATACAGTAGGAAGCTATATATACACAGAGAACGTGAAAAAATGGGTGTTGCCATACCAACTGTAATGAGAGTAATCAATTAAGGTGAGCAGTTATCAGCAGGAGGGAAAAAGAACTTTTGTAGTGATAATCAGGATGGCCCATTTCCAACAGTTGACAAGAAGGTGTGAGTAACAGTAGGGGAAAAAATTAGCATGGGGAAATAGTTTTACTTTGTGTAATGACCCATCCACTCCCAGTCTTTATTCAAGCCTAATTTAATGGTGTCCAGTTTGCAAATTAATTCCAATTCTGCAGTTTCTCATTGGAGTCTGTTTTTGAAGTTTTTTTTGTTGGAGTATTGCGACTTTGAGGTCTGTAATTGAGTGACCAGGGAGGTTGAAGTGTTCTCCGACTGGTTTTTGAATGTTATAATTCTTGACGTCTGATGTGATGAACACACCATCATTATATGAAAAAGAATTGGCAAGTTTATCCTGCAATTGTATATTTCTCTTTACAAGGCACTGTACTGTTGCTGAGGAGTTCTCATTCTATTTTGTCTGTGTTTATCTGTGATCAATCACTCAGGCATCTTTGGCAACATGTCACCAACTCCCTGAAAGAAGGCAATATCGATGCAGCAACGGAGCACAAGCACCGCCTTGAGGAAAGGCAGCGAGCAGAGGAGAGGCAACGTGTGGCTATTAATACACCCTGGAAACCAAAGTATTTTACCAACGAGGTAATGTGAATCACACCAAAGCATTTCTTTGTTGCTTTAAGATAGGAATGTAATTAGGGTTACCATATTTCCACAAAAAAAAAAGAGGACGGGGGGGGGGGGGGAGGAGGAGCCCCGCCCTAGCCCCGCCCCATCCACTCCCTCCCACTTCCCACCCCCTGACTGCCCCCCTCAAAACCCCCAACTCCCCGCTTCTTGTCCCCTGACTGCCCCCTGCGGAGAACCCCCCACCCTAACTGCCCCCCTAGGAACTTACCTGTCCCCTGACTGCCCCGACGCTTATCCACTCGCATGGGTGGCAGGGTTGTAGAAATTTTGGTGGTGCCCAGAACCCGCCCCCCCCACCACCTGCCTAAGGCTCTGGGAGGGGGATTGGGTGGGGGGAGGAAGTCTGGGGTGCAGGTCCTGGGTGGGGGGAGGAAGTCTAGGGTGCAGGAGGGGTGCAGGGTGCAGGCTCTGGGATAGAGTTTGGGTGCTGGGTGCAGGCTCTGGGCTGGGGCAGGGGGTGGGTGTGCAGGAGGGGGTGAGGAGTGCAGACTCTGGGATGGAGTTTGGGGGTGGGAGGTGGTGCAAAGGGAGGGGGTGCAGGCTTTGGGAGGGAGTTTGAGGGCAGGAGGGGGGGTGTGGGAAGGGGGAGGGGGTTTGGGAGTTTGGGGATAGGAGGGGTGCAAGGGTGAGGGCTGTGGGGCTGAGGATGAGGGGTTCATGATGCAGGAGGGGGCTCTGGGATGGAGCAGAGGATTAGGGTGCAGGGGGATGAGGGTTGGGGCTGAGGATGAGGGGTTCATGATGCAGGAGGGGGCTCATGGATGGAGCAGAGGATTAGGGTGCGGGGGGATGAGGGTTGGGGCTGGGGATGAGGGGTGTGGGGCGTTGGAGAGGCTCAGGGCTAGGGTGAAAGGGCAGGGTAAGGGCAGCCTGTCTTGCCATTTGTGGATGGGGGGCACTAGGACCCGGGGGCAGCAGACAGCAGTTGCTGCCGGCTCTGGCAGTACAAGCAGGCATGGGAGAGGCAGGCGGGGGGGGGGGGGGGGGGGGGGGGGGGGGGGGGGGGGGGGGGTGGCAGGTGGAGGGGCCGGGGACCCAAAACACTCCCCCGCTCCCTGACTGCCCCCTGGGACTCCCCTCACCATGCTCATGTCCACGTGTAGGCAAAACACGCTGCAGGCAGCAGGGGGGAGCAGGGGAGGGCTCTGGCTGCTGGAGGCCAATGGGAGTGGCTCAACCCGGCCCAGCCGCCCAATCAGCAGCCGCACTCTGCATGGAAGGGAGGGAGGGAGGGGAGGGGAAAAATCCCGGACCTTTTAACCTTGTTACCAATTCCTCCCGGACGGCTATTTAGAGACGCAAAAGCCGGACATGTCCGGGGAAATACGGACGGATGGTAACCCTAAATGTAATGGAATTCCACAGTACAGTGAGGAGTGTGTGTGTGCAAACAATTAAAATCAGCTTTTGATTTGTATCATTGTGATTGTGACTAAATCTCTCTGATCTTTCCAAACTTTGACTCCTAAAAAACAATCAGACATTTATTTTAGATTTTGTAAAACTTGTTCTCCTTTTTAAGCTGTCTTTTACCTGCCTTCGGTTAAATGTATTTATGCCTGAATTTTTATAAATTTGGTCTCTATGATTAGACATCTAAATCCATATTTTTGGCCATTTAAAAATAAAAAGCTTGATGCTCAGCAATGGCTCAAAGACTTTAAGGTCAGAAAGGACCATCATGATTATCTTGTTTGACCTCTAGCACATTGCAGGTCACAGAACCCCACCCACCCACTCCTGTGATAGACCCCTAACAGCTGGCTGAATTACTGAAGTCTTCAAATCATGATTTAAAGACTTCAAGTTACAGAGAATCCACAATTTACCCTAGTTTAAACCTGCAAGTGACTCATGCCCCATGCTGCAGAGGAAGGCAAACCCCCCCCCCCCCCCCGGGCTCTCTGCCAACCTGACCCAGGGGAAAATTCCTTTCCGACCCCAAATATGGCGATCAGTTAGACCCCACTTGAGACCTTCCTCCAATCTGACATCATTCCATTAATAGCTACTTTTTGTTTGTGGTTGTTTAACCAATTATGTATTCACTTAATGGTAGTTCTGTCAAGTCCACATTTCTCCAGCTTACTTATCAGAATGTCATGTGGGACTGTGTCAGAAGCCTTGCTGAAGTCCACCACATTCCCCCTATCTACCAAATCGGTTACCCTGTCAAAGAAGGAAATCAAACTGGTTTGGCATGATTTCTTCTTGATAAATCCATGTTGGCTGCTAGCGATTACCCCTTCATCCTCCAGGTATTTGCAAACTGAATGTTTTATACATTGCTCTAGTAGCTTCCCAGGTATTGAAGTCAGGCTGACTGGTCTATAGTACCTCATCATCTCCTTTCCCCCCTTTTTAAAAATGGGCACCTCTCCTGTCACATATGAGTTTGTCAATATTATTGCCGGTGGCGCTGAGATTTCTTCAGCTAATTTCTTCAGTAACCTGAGGTGAATAGCATCTGGCCCCGCTGATTTGAATTCATTCAAGTTGGTTAAAAGATCTCTGACATGTTCTTTACTTATCCCAATCTGCATCCCTTCCCCTTTATGGAAGAGTCTATGGTAACTAGGACCTAGATTAAAGCTCAGGTTAGCCAGATGATGTCTTGAGATGCTCTTCCCAGTAGTTGATAATGGAGCCATCCCAGCACAGTAATCCTCTTTCCTGGAACATCAGCTCTTTGTTGAAGAAGCCAAAGCCCTCTCGCCAACACCACCTGAGTAGCCACGCAGTCTCTACCCGGGCATTTTCATTCAACAGGGAGAATGGATGAGAACACCACTTGTGCCCCAAACTCTTTTATCCTTCTTCCCAGAGCCATGTAGTCTGTAGGGATCCACTCAAGATCATTCTAGGCAGTATCGTTGGTGCCCACATGGATAAGTAGGAAGGGGCAGCAGTCCGAGGCCTTGATGAGTCTCAGTGGCAATTCTAGCTCTAGGCAAGCAGCACACTTCTTGGGATTCCTAGTCTGGACAGCAGATGGGTGACTCTGTCCCCCAAATAAAGAAAAAAAACTAGTAAGAGGACCAAAAAAAACACAAACGCCACCATTGCTAAACAGTGAAAGAGGCAGTTTTGAGACAAAAAGACATGCTTTAAAAATTGGAGGTCAAATCCTACTGAGAAAAATAGACAGGAACATAAACTCTGGCAAGTCGAGTATAATTAAGCAGGGCAGAAAAGAATTTGAAGAGCAACTAATAAAAGTCATACAAACAAACAGCAACATTTTTTTAATGTACATCAGAAGCAGGAAGCCTCCCAAACAATCAGTGGGGCCACTGGACGATTGAAGTGCTAAAGGAGCATTCAAGGAAGATAAGGTCATTGTGGAGAAGCTAAATGAATTATTTGCATCGGTTTTCACTGCAGAGGATGTAGGGTGGGGGGAGATTCTCAAACCTGAGCTATTCTTTTTAGGTGAGAAATCTGAGGAACTGCCCCCAGATTGAGGTGTCAATAGAAGAGGTTTTGGAACAAATTGATAAATTAAACAGTAATAAGTCACCAGGGCCAGATGGTATTCACCCAAGAGTTCTGAAGGAACTCAAATATGAAATTGCACAATTACTAACAGTGATATGTAACCTATCACTTAAATCAGCCTCTGTACCAGATGATTGGCTGATAGTTAATTTATAACGCTGATTTTTAAAAAAGGCTCCAGAGATGATTCTGGCAATAACAGGCCAGTAAGCCTAACTTCAGTAACAGACAAATTGGTTGAAATTATAGTAAAGAATAGAATGATCAGTTACATACATGAATATAATAAGTTGGGGAAGAGTCAGCAGGGCTTTTGTAAAAGGAAATCATGCCTCACCAATCTATTAGAATTCTTTGTGGGAGTCAACAAGATGTGGACAAGGGTGGCCCAGCGGATACAGTGTACTTGGACTTTCAGAAAGCCTTTGACAAGATCCCTCTCCAAAGGCTCTTAAGCAAAGTAAGCGGTCATGGGATAAGAGGGAAGGTCCTCTCATGGATCAGTAACTGGTTAAAAGTTAGGAAACAAAGGATAGGAATAAATGGTCAGTTTTCACAGTAGAGAGAGGTAAATTGTGGGGTCCCCCAAGGATCTGTATTGGGACCAATGCTGTTCAGCATCTTCATAAATGATCTGGAAAATGGGATAAACAGTGAGGTGGTAAAGTTTGCAGATGATACAAAATTACTCAAGATAGTTAAGTCCAAAACTGACTGCGAAGAATTACAAAGGGATCTCACAAAACTGGTGACTGGGCAACAAAATGAAATTTGAGATGAAATTCGGTGTTGATAAATGCAAAGTAATGCACATTGGAAAACATAATCCCAACTATACATACAAAATGATGGGGTCTAGATTAGCTGTTGCCACTACAGAAAGAGATATTGGTGTCATTGGGGATAATTTTCTGACAACATCCACTCAGTGTGCAGTTGCAGTCAAAAAAGCTGACAGTGTTAGGAACCATTAGGAAAGTGATAGAAAATAAAACAGCAAGTATCATCATGTCACTATATAAATCCATGGTATGCCCACATATTGAATACTGCGTGCAGTTCTGGTTGCCCCATCTCAGAAAAGATAACTTAGATTTGGAAAAAGTACAGAGAAGGGCAACAAAAATTATTAGGGGTATGGAACAGCTTCCATATGAAGAGAGATTAAAAAGACTGTTCAGTTTAGCAAAAAGACAACTAAAGGGGGATATGATAGAGGTCTGTAAAATCAAGAATGGTGAAAGTGGTGAAAGTACTTCATCTAACACAAGAACCAGGGGTCACCGAATGAAATTAATGGGCAGCAGGTTTAAAACAAACATAATGAAGTACTTCTTCACACAACGCACAGGCAACTTGTGGAACTCATTGCCAGGGAATGTTCTGAAGGTCAAAAGTATAACTGGATTTAAAAAAATTAGACACATTAATGGAGGATAGGTCCATCAATAGCTATTAGTCAAGATGTACTAGTTATTAGTCAAGGGATGGAACTCCATGAACTGGGTTTTCCTAAACCTCTGACTTCCAGAAGATGGGATTGGAGGATAGGGGATGAATCACTCAATAATTGCCCTGTTCTGTTCATTCCCTCTGAAGTATCTGGCACCAGCCACTGTCGGAAGACAGGATATTGGGCTAGATGGACTTCTGGTTTGATTGGTATGGCCATTTTTACATTCTTATGTGAGTAGTACCATTGGACACAATGGGATTATTCATGTACATTGCATGATGGGGACAGTAAGAAAGAATTAACAGCCCTTTAGATCTGGGTGTTAGGATTTCACTGTCCCTATCAGCAGCAGTGTCTGGATGCTCCAGTTACTTTAAAAAGGAAAGTGGAGGACAAAAATCAGACAATTGAGAAGAAAATCACTGTTACTAATACCATTTAAAGTTTATTACATGTAAATATTTTTAACAATTATGCGATGTTTACTCTATTCATCTTGGATGATGAAACTAGATTGGTCACTTCATTTTCTGGTTCTGATGCTCTAGCTCAAGCTGGCTGTTTGGGTTTCCACAATTGCAAAGAAATGTTTAGCTTTTTTAAAGAAGTGGAGGAAAATATTACATTGATCTGTTTTTTCATCTTATCTGTTACTGACGTTTTTTGTTTACAAAATTTAAAATATGCATCTAAACTACTTCAGTAGTTTTTTAGATAGTTGGATCCAAAGGCTTTAAGTGTTAGGAAACTACACCCAGAAGGGTATGGATAATGAAATCCCGATCTCTAGCATATTACAAACAATTGTGTATTGAAATATTTGACATTATAGACTAAATGGTAATCCTTATTCTTGTAGTTCCCATTTACAGCCCCCATTATCAGTGGTGGACGTTGTTCTGCAGATTGAGGGTAGGATATGATCTAATATATTCAGGCCCTTTTACGATTTTTGTGGAAGTTTGAGCAAGATATTTTTGAACCATGTCTAGTAATACTTCTGGCACCGTTGATTAATTCTTTGTATGGAATGGAAATGAGGTAAAAATATTCTCTTCCTTTTGCAGATGCAGAATATGATAAAACGCAAAGAAAATACTTGTTTTCAAAACAACTTCATATTTAAATGGGCAAAATAGAAAAACTAAGAAAATTCCAGTTTTTGATAAGAGCACCATTGAGCTAGCACAACTTAGAATTTTTTCTAAAACATTCTTGTCAAGTAATTTTTAAGGTTTTTTATCTTCCACTGCTGATAGTTATAAGGACTTTTTCAACACGGGTGAAACTCACTCTACACACGCAGTGTTGTCTGTTGTACAAAATAAAGTGTAAAAGGCTTTCACTAAAACCATTTAGTTTTAGCAATCTTACGTGTTATTTGTAATTGTAGTAGGTACAGGGTTTTCAGACAGCCATATCTTGACAGTATTCCTTTAGCTTCTATTGAATCTATTTTAGTAGTGTGTTGTATATCTTTTTAAAAATTGAAAGGTAAAATTTGTAAAATCTCCCTAATTTTCTTACAGGGTGACGGTTGGATATACTTCAATCCCCTCTGGAAGTCCCATTGACAAGACAGAATGCACTGTTGTCTCATAACAAACCCATCTTAGAGGCATTAAAACGATGCAGTATATAACCTTCAGGTGTCATTGAATAGCTTTGTTACAACAAGATACAAATAAGAAGCTATATAAGCTATATACTGTGATTGATGAATCTCAAAACAGCTACAAGCTCAAGTTTATTCAACAGCCATTTTGTGTGTGTATATATACATACACACACACACACACACACACACACACTGTGTGTTGATTGATATATATATCAATGTGTAAACACGTTATACACGCACTAACAATGATTAAGGTCCTGATCCTTTAAACATTATGTGCACAAAACTTCCATTGAAGTTAATGAGAGTTCGGTGTATTGTCTGCTTGTGGGATCAGGCCCTATGTTGGCAATTAAGAATACTTTTTTATTAGTACAGTTTGAGGTTTTGTATTTTTCACTTTGCCAAAAACATTTTGCACTTATAAAATGTGACTTGTCATTGGCAGTCATTCAGAGTCTAAATGGTGGTTAAATGGCTCACTTCAAGTGACCTAAGCAAGATACATTTGGGATATTGGTTTAAGAGCATGTTTTCTGTTCTTGTGACTCACTTATAAGCATGCATTTCTTGCCATCTTATAAAAAGTAGCAATACCATTGCAAGAACCTTGTTTGTACTAATCCATTGTTCTCCTTTTTTTCTGTTTGTATTCCAAAGAGATGCTTAATATTTTGCAAGGCCATTTGTCAGACCCTTGACCGTGGGAAAGGGGATCTCTCTGTGAAACACCACTGGCAGTGGTTATGCTAGGGAATGCCGATGTCATTGGGTGAACCTGCTTTATAGCCCATCAGTCTTGTGTTATAGCTTTGAGCAGTCCTGTATTTTTGGTTCTTCTCTTTTTTTTAGGCCCTGCTGATTGCTTCGTGACATTTTCTCAGAAAATGCTACTTTTACACCAGGCATTATTTGCTAACCTACTACTTCATGGTGAAATAAGGGCGTTAGTAAATTAAAAAAAATACTGGGGGCAGTGATTTGTTTTGTAATGTAAAAATCTATAGCTTGATTTTACTTTGTAAGTAAACCACTGAGAGATGAAGAAAGTGAACCTCTAAAAATAGACAGTGTATTAACGCTTAGCTGCATTTCAGTTAAAGTGAGATGTATCGATTTTTCAAGAGAAAGTAATGGCCAAAAATGTAGTAAACTGACTTCTGCTCAGTGCTTAATTTACTTTTACAGTGACCCTTATAAACACCATTATATTTCTAACGAACAGTAGCATGAATGCCTAACTTTCAGTAGTACTGGCTAATTTTGTGCCTTTTGTTTGCTTTCTTAATACAGCTGCTTGTAGATACTAGACAAATAGATTTAGTTGACGCATTGCTCATCTGTTCATGTGCTCAAACTAGCATTTTATGTTAGTTATTTTTGGTAGATATTAAGGTTACTTAGATAAGTCAGAAAGTTATACAGTACTCAGGTGTATATGTAATTGAATGCACCATTCATTGTTAACTTGGAATTGGCCTTCAATAGATCTTTCAACCTAATGAGCTTCAGATCTCTATTAAATAGCTTGTAGTGTCCTTCATCTCTTAAAGCCACATTGTATCTGTCTGTACATACTTTTCTCTGCACATAAAAATCTAGGTTTTTTCTTAAATGTTTTAAAACCTATTTTAAAGAAATGAAGACTGTACAGGATCCGTTTTAATGTACAGAAATATTGTTTGTAAGGAAAGCTTTATTTTTAGGTAGAGTGGATGCTTTTCTGTAATTATGATGTCAAAATGATGCCCCTGTGATAAGAGATGAACTTACAGGTAACTTCAGGAGAATTCATATACTTTGTGGTCTGCAGGAACTCATTTATATTGCTTGGGGCCACTCTTGTTTTAAAGAGGTTAGTCTGGTAAGTAACTGGAAACATTAACAAGTTATAATGTAGATTGCATTATGAAGAACAGTCTAAAATGCAGAATTAAACAGATAATTGGAGTACACCCTCAAAATTGTAGCTTTAATTTTCAAACACCAAAGAACTTGGCCATGCGTTGATTACAAAGAGGCATTAGAGACCTCAAACGTTTGTTAGCAGTGCAGGACTGGACCTTTCCTTATTCACGGTATGACTATCAATGCTACAAAGATGCTGTAGCTCTTATTTTAAGGTGAATTTTAACTACTTTTGGACTTCTAATTTATTAAGGGTTTCTTCTCTGCATGGTTATTTGTTACCGCATGGCGAGACTATTCCATTTATGCTCCGATAAAACTTTTGATTGTTTTTTAATGCTGTGAAGAACCCTCGGATGCCGTTACCACTGTCTGCTTTCTAAAATAAATCCCGTGAGGCAAGCACAGTGCTCATATTTGAAATATCTGAATCAAAAACAGATTTCAAAAATAAATTCAAGAAGTGTCTTCACTTTATTTTTTCTGATTAAATAAAATATATATTCTATGTATTACATAATGGTAGGACAAGATTTTGAATATTAAGCAGTAACCAGCCTTATTCTGTAGGTTATTCCAATGTCTGTCTTGCACCTGCAAGTGAGTAATTTTTGGGTAGCCGGTGTAAACTTTGAAATGTAATGTGACTCTCAATGTGTTTCAGATCTACCTTTTTTATGCACACATGTAGAACCTATGCAATCTTTTCTTCCTTAAAGTAGAACTGTTCAGCCAAAAAATGTAAGTTTATCGTTTAAAATTTTAAAATACTCTGGCAGTCACTTCTGATTAGCCTTCCTTTCACAATTTATGTGAATTAAAATTACATAAACTGACATCACTGTCAATAAATGATTCTTTCAGTTAGTGGTTTGGATGCTGTCGCTTTCCATTGAAATAATTAGTTAAAATGGCACCATTTGCTCAAAGGTCTGTAGATGTACAATATTTCTTTACCACATTCAATTGCATATGGGATCTGCTTCCATTGAAATCCTGTTTTTCTGCTGAGAATGCATGATATCAAACAGGGAACATTGTTTTAAATTAATTTTAAACAGCTGGCTTGCTAGATGTGGGGGAAGAGGTGGCAGCTAGTGGCTGGGGCAGCACCACCCAACTGCAGGTAAGGATGGGGTGTGAACTGTGCAGAGAAGCCCTGGTGATGATTCTTGCAATGATTCCAACAATTAGTCTTAATTAATTTTGGGGTGGTAACATGCCTTATGTTGATCAACTGAGAGACCCTTAGAAAGGATATTATCAAGGTTTATCTAACTTCCTGAAGATCACTTTTATTCATTCGTTAGATTACTAAGTGTATCTTTCTGTAAAAGATCCTTGCCATGATTGATTCCTGCTCCTCCCATGAAACTTGATGAGTTCCTATAGATAACATTCAAACAGCAGCTCTGGATAATGGGATTCATGCCCTTCTATTACCAGTGGATGCATTTTCTCCAATAAATAAAAATATAAATTCAACACTTAAAATTTAGGTCTAAACCATTTAGAGTCCCTCAAATTTTGTATGATTAAAAATGTGAGGGGAGAGGAGGAGAAAGAAGAGTTTACACAATCTAATATAAATTTTTTTTCAGTTTCACTGAAGACAGTTTAGATTTGAAATATTCTTCCACTGTTGAAAATCCACACACCACAACCTTGTTCTGAGAACCAGAAAAAGAAACTGGCTGCAAAGACGACTCACCAGCACATATTGCACAGCCAGCTGCCCTTTTCAGCACATGGCTTCATTGCTATGGTTCTGATGTATATTTCCCTTGGAGCTTTTGTTATAGAGATCTAGTCTTGAGCCCTGTTCTTAGACAATTCTGGCAAAGCTGAGACCTCAGCTGGTGCCACTGACGCTATCACAGTCTATATTCACTCAAGTCGATGTAGGATGAACAACAGGGACAAGCAGGAGTGACATAGATGAGCTGGAGAAATCTGGTGGGAAGATCTATTCCACTTATGTTCTGATAACTTTAAAAGATAAGACTTTACTCCTGAGGGAATTCTGTGCCAAAAAATTAAAAATCCTGCACACAATATTTTAAAATTAAGCAAATTTTATTTGTCAATAAATAAATGTGGCTCCAGCATGGCAGTGGGGAGCACAGGCCACTGGCTGCATTGAGGTGGGCTCAAAGTGTGGGGCAATCTGGGTGCCGGTGGCTCAGTGGAACATCTGGATGCACCGGGGCTTGGTGGTGGTTCCAGGTGCAGAGGTAATGGGACTCTGCAGGAGATCCAGGTAGTGGTTGAGGCCCAGTGGCGGGGGTTGAGTGCTGGGGGAGTGGGACTTGATGGGGTGGCAGTCCAGGTGCAGGACTTGTCAGGGCAAGGGTTCAGTGACCCTGCTGAAGGGACAACCCATGCTAGGCTCCTGCTTCCCTCATCCCCTTTTCTTCTCCACCCTCCCTCTCACATTTTCCCCCACCACTCCCTGTAGCACAGAAAACAGAAGTACTCCCTTTCTGTGTGCTGGGAGCCTAACTGGCACTAGGACCCAGTTCTCCAAGCCCTCTTCCCAATTCCAGCTGTTTGGGTAGGGACAGGCCAAGTGGTGGTGGATAATACTCAGACTCAAATGGACCAAAGGATTCATCTGATTCTAAATGCATGTTTGTTAGGGAAGTGCATTAAGACAGCACAAACTTACAGGGGAAGAGCATTTCCAGTTTTGGCAGATTTCCAAGGAAGCTCATTGAGCTGAAACTGGGCAAGATTTTTATCTATGAGCCATGCCTAAGGCATGAGCCAAGAACCCATGCCCAAGAAGGTTGTTTTGGACCAGCGACTGATGGGTGGGGCAGAGCTAGCTAGTCTTGAAGGGGGTAGCGCACATTTCTTAATTCCAGGTAACAGCGACCCTTTGCCCAGTCTTCCCATGACGCCTTTGTTGTAGAGGTGGCTCTGCTCAAGGAGTGACTAGCTGCAATTATGATACTGTGCCCCAGAATCTTGACCTGTGATGTTGGGATTCATTTAGAATCCCCCTTTGGATTTTCACCACTGGGACTGCCATCCTTGAAGGCTTGGTAATCTATAACTCAATAGCCAGGTGGAGCTTTGAAAGGCTCAACCCTGGGAAATTTACATCTGCAACACACATAGCAGGAGCTTAAGCTAGTACATACTGGTCTGCCATTCGATTCAGATGCCCTGTGCTGCTGATGTATGCCACAATGGTGAGTTCTGCTGCCTCAAAGGTGGACATTTGTAGATTTGCCTGGTGGCAGACGTTTAGGTTCCACCTAGAGGACAGCAGACTTCCATGTCAATGACTGACAAACAGAACACCTCTCCGCACTCTGTGGTCAAACCACAGAACCAGCAGCTGAAGTATGTTATTCAATAAGCATAAGAAATCAAACTGATTTTCAAATGTTTGTGTAATCACTCCACCATCACACTAGTACCTGGCAAGAACCTCCCTATTAGAGGCAGATGAAGTATTTTACCCATACTGTTCCCTAGTTGCCCCATCACGTGTGCTGAGTGGTGTTTTCAGAAAACCTGTAATTCTGCTGATATCAACAGTTTTTACTTACCATCCCTCAGAGTTTTGGATGTGATTAATCATTTTGAATTAGCCCCCAGCACAATAGGTCTTTGGTGCAATTCAAAGAAGTGAGTAGAAGGTAGTATATGCAACATGGTGGTATGGAAATGCTGGTAGCTGACATGGTTTGTATTCAGCTATGCTACCACTTACTTCAAGGGTAAACATTCCTTAATAAGTGAGCCTGCTGTTCTTTTTCAATGCTGGGAAGTGAAAATCAAAAATTCTGACACAGTATTTTCAAGTAAGTAGAATGACAGGTAAGTAATTTCCCCTTCCCTTATCACCAGCATAGAGCTGGCTCACTTCCTCACTTGCTGCTGGTGCTTAGCATAGATTCCTTAATTTATTCTATAACAATTACCATAGTAGCTGAACATCTCATTAATTTTCAGTCTAACTGCAGTATGAGGATAAGAAACTGAGGAGACTCTGGGACTTGCTTAAAGTCATTCAGGAAGTTATCAGATTTAGACACAGAACCAGGATATTCAAGTTCAGTGCCTTAACAGGATCCCCTTTCTTTTTTCAGATGGCAAACTGTAAAGCTCAAGCTATGTCTCTTAAAAACATGCATGTGTGGGGAAAGATAGTAGTTGCTCCCTGAAGACATTTTTAATAGCAATTCACAGAGGGTTCTACATTTTTGTGAACTTTCTAGGAATAGACTTAACGTGGAAAGGAACACAGTTCAATTAGTAGGGATTACTGTGGCTTCACTGATGCAGTAGTAGCAGCTCTGACAATCCTTCCACAAAGGCCAACAACTTTGCACTTTGGGAACTGGAGTAGTCTTTGTGACCAAGTAAGGTTACTTAAATATTTTTGGAAGAACAAAAGCTTTACAGCATTGTTAAAGCAGGCCCAAGCTTAACTTTGTTTTGCAAGTTTAGTGATTGAGGCAAAAATGATGAAGTAGAGAATTTTCATATGAAGGAACAAACATCCTTATGTTTCATAATGGGCAAATTTTTTCTTCTTCATCCTATGGTGAACTCAATGCAGACACGGATTATACCATTTTACCTGGTGCTATGCTGTGATCTCAAATGTAGAATTATATCTTCACTGAAGGGATTAAATTAGTGGAAGTGTCTCTTATACATGTAGTTTATAGCTTGATCAAATTGTAATACTCCTACATTTTAATCTCCTCAAGTGGGCCAAAGGATTCATGCTAGTAGAAGAGCACCAATTTTTCAAGTTCATTTTAAGAGCAAAAATGACAAGACACCTTAACACAAAACTTGAATTAACTTTATTTTCCCCTATAGTTAACAACTGGTCTGCATTGAGCTTTAAAGCAACAAAGTAAAATGAAATCTCAAAAGGGCAAATGGTCAGAAATCCAGAATTTTTATTTTTGTGAAAATGTTGCAGCTGTAGTATTGGTTTGTAAAAGAACCATTAAGGTCAAAAAGGAGTTTATAAATCAAAAAATATTCTACACCTTGGGAAAAATCAGCAGTAACATTCTCACTGAATATTGTAAATTTACATTTTCTTCATGAAAGGTACATACTATTCTGCATTTTACACCAATACTTCTGGTGTAAATTAGATTTGCTTATATAAAAATGAGTTGCATCCTGTGGCAGGAAAATAAACAGCAAAAACCCTCTCTTTCACTTTATTAAAAGAACAAGAAATTTTTCAAGTCTGTATAAAGTTTCCTATAGCTGGAAAGTCAACATGTTCAATCTCCATTTATATTTTAGTGCATTTAATTTGACAATTGTCACTTTTAAAAAATAAAATAAAAGAAAGCAAATAGCACTAAAGCAGAAGTTTCATCAACTGATTAAGCACTCTAAATAAAAATGCAGAGAAAAAACACAATCCTTTCCAAAAAACAAACAACCCCCTCACAAAAAAAGGTAGGTTGGGGTTTATAAACCCTCTATCTCTCCGAACAGCCACAGAAAGGGGATTTTGTATACTTGTCAACCTTTTTTTTTTAATTTAAAAAAGGTATATTTGTTTTACCATGTAAACATTTCACAAAATTAGTTTTAACTTTAGTTCTGAAACACCAGCTGTTGTAGTGCTCAGTAGCATTCATTAACATTGCTTCAGATTTTCAGAAGGATACAAATTTAGCCCTTATATCTACATTATACAAGATTTGTGCTGTGTAAGGCAGCAAATACTGCAATTGTTTTTTAAACAAAAGCAGCCTGTTCAATTTAAACTTATCATCCAAGTACTGTAATATGTCCAGTTATCATTTGTGAAAATGTAGCTTGCCTCTTATAGTCCAGACTAAAAAATTTACAGCAATAGAAAAAGTACATTTAATGAACCCATGTAAATAAATACTATAAGGGAGAGTAATCTGTGTTTCCTAAGAGCTGAATTACAAAGATGTACATAGTCTCTTAATTGTTTTAAAAAAATCAACAGCTTGGAAAAACTAGTCACTTTACAGATTTCACCATTCTAGTTTACATTACATATTGCTTATTCAGCTGAAGTATGTTTTAAAAAAAAAAAAAAAATTGACAAGTATGCATGTGCCAAGGACCAAATTAGAGGGCTCTTTGGTGCAATCAGTCCAAATTCTCAACAGATTTGAAGGATAATATGTACCAAGAAAAAAAAATCTGCTGCTAGACTTGGACAGCAGCTCTGTCTTGCTTCACATTACAAATCTAAAACAGCTGTTCTCAATAAGCCAACATTTTTTAAATCAGACATTGCCTGAAAATTTTGTACAATAATCTGGACCAATGATGGTTCTGTACCCTCATGTTGCTGTGAAACATGACTTGAGCTAAAGGCAAAGACTGGTTATCTCAAGGACAACTGCTTCGTATTAGCAATCAGAACAGTGTATTTAAACTGTCTTCCTGTTGGGTCTCTTGCCTCTCTTTAAAATTAGTTTATTCTTAATGTAGCCCCGCTTCCTTTTGGCAGTCTAAAAAGAAAAACAGAATACATTGTATTAGTTAATTATAATGCTCTAGTAGTTACACTGTAATGCTGTGCTTCAATCTTTGGATTTTTTTTTTTTAAGTAAATTTAGGTAGGGGGCCTAAACTACTTCATATTGTCCTTTTATTTTAAAATTGTTAAACATATGACAGACTAGCCTCAGGCTACTATCTTAATAAACCCCAAACAAACCCAACATCCTCCCCGTTCACAAAGTTATATGAAAAGCCATTTGTTGCAAGATCCACAAGTCCATCATGCATAGCCCTGTCTCCAGAGCTGTGCTGATGCTAATAAGAGCAAAGATTCTAATTCAGCTTGATTAAGGACACAAAGAGCAAAAATGACATATAGAACAGTGGAGAACGTTAGTCTCAAACTTGGAAATGAAAAGTTTCCAGAGAACTGAGTATTGGGTAACAGAGTTTTCATCCTTGAGAGGATGACCAGGTTAAGTCGATCACTCACAGAACTGTAGTTTAGTGTAAACAGAGCATGATAACTTATGTCCTATATTACTGATGTACTGTATTAGAGCAACTATTAACATCTGTATGCTTTCAAGGAATAAATTAACATGCGCAGGATAAGGGAGTTCTAGCCTTTTTATCCCCCACAATCAGTTTTGGAGCCTGAGTTGGGCCCTAAGATGACATTAAATGAGCAAAGAGGGCTATTTAATTTTCTATTTGATGTCCCAAATTTTAGGCTGAGCAGATTCATTAAATTAAGTAAGGACTAATGTAGTAAAGAGTTATTTTCATTGTTTGTATTTATATCTATGGGAGACCATAAACAGTCAGATTGTGTATTTAATTTGTCCTAAAGAACAGAATACGAAGTGCAGCTGCTCCAGCACATTTTACATGCAATTTGCTTGTCAGGCTCACCTGCAGGTCACTGACAAAGGGAAATAGAAACTACATCCCTTTAAGAAGCTGGAAAGCAGAGATATTGATTGTAACATTTAGAGTGCACCTTTCATTTTACCAACGGATGACAAGTATACATATAAATTCATCTACTACTGATAAGTATGTAACCATGCACAGGCAAAGTACATAACAGCTTAAGCATGTTGAATTTTCAGGGGTTCATGTGGTCAGAATAATTTTGCAAGTTGGAGGTTGGCCAGGAAGATACTGCTCATATAGTTACAAAAGATCCTTTAAGGCTCTATCTAAAGACACCTGGCTGCATTTGCACCCTAGCAACCTGCTGGTTCACTGATAATTAATGGAGACATTTATACAGTATGTAGAATTTACATGTCTCATGTGTCTGGCCACACTTTTATCCTGTCTTAGCTTGAGAGCAAATGGGTTGCTCAGCTTAAAGGAATACAGCTGACAGAAGTATGGTTAGGTTTATTATTAACAGGGGACTTCAGAAGCTGTCAGACCAGAACAATGTCAATACTACAACTTGAATTTCAGGTGTTCGAGTGCAAACTGCAATTGGCACTTTATAATAAAGTTTAAACTGAAAAAAAACGAAGTTCCAGGCCCCCTGGCAATAAAGGCCAATTCAAAATATTCATGTTTAGCATTAAATTATGACTTCAACTCTAAAGGCAAGTTACCAATTACAAGTGAAATGGTTCAAAACAGATTCCTTTCTACCAATCTAATTACAGTCTAATTGGACTGTGCCACCAAAGCACCTTACAGACACTGATAAAATCTGTTCAAACATTTTGTATCCATAAAGTATCCTTAATAATTGTATGTTACACACTAATTTAATAGTGGTACTATCACTGTTCACTTGACAAGATTTGGGACTCCTACTTGGGATAAATCACTGCATATCACAGGGCTATCATATCAGCTGCTGTGAAAGATTTTTCCTTTCACTTCCTCTGCAACACCCTACTCCCCCCCAACACTCCATTATAATAGACAAATAATGCACCAAGACCAAAATATGAAATGTGTTTAAAAAAAAGGAACATTTTAAGTGAGATGATTTCAAAGAGTAAGAAGCCAGACACTTAAGTTCCATCAACAAAAGGTTCAGATTTAATTTATTTCATACAAAAATGTCATTTTGAAACTTCTAGGCATCACTATTTACAAACAGGTTCAGAAAGCAACTTCCACATTATTTTTTACTTGGTGAGCCAGTTACTGAAACATGACTGATGTACTTTGGAGAGTATACTTCAATTTACATGAAGCTGTTTAAGATTTGTAACAGCCAGTGACACAGCCTATTGCCAGTTAGCAACACTCTCTATTTAAAAAAAAAAAAAAAAAAAAAATCTAGCCTTGTGTCTTCACATGCTCACAGGTTAAGCAGACAGTAAATTAACAATTATTACCAGCAGACAGGTCTGATATTGGAGACTAATATGAATGAACCGTATCATAAAAAGATCTGGCTAGTGGAAATATATAACTCACCAGCTATGTGATTTATTGTTAAAAACAAATAAAACAGGTTGTTGCCCCTTTTGAGTTACTTCACTGGGAACCCACCTTCTTTGACAAATACTTCTGTTTTGGTAAAATGTTGGTTACTCTAGGTTTATGGTCCAATGTCTCTCTGTTGTCTAGTTCTTTCACTTTGTATATTCTTACAAGCCAATGCTCTGATGTAAAGGCTTCCTCCAAATGTTTGAATTTAATGTCCTTGTTGCCGATCTCAGCATTGCGTGTGCGATCAAATCCTGGTGGTGTCCGAAAATCCAGCTATAAAGTTAATGTTACACATCAGTTTGGAAAAAAATATGAAATGCATCACTGCTAACTGAGCTGTGCTCCACATTCCCTGGGCTAGACCTAAACTGCTTTAATGGGGGAAAAGAATCTGAAGAGAATATTTTCTGTGCAATGTCATTACTGCTCAGAAAATCTTGAAGCCACGGCTTTTTTTAGTCAGCCAAACTAGAGCTCAACTAGTTCTGACAACTGGAAAGGAAACTGATCAAATGACTGATACTTGTACTATGTCTTCTGCATATGACCCAAGTCACCTGTGTCAGTGGTGAGTCTTATTTCCTTATTCAGAAAGGAAACAAGAACAATGATGGGAGAGAATGAATGTCCAAAGTGCAAGAGCCTGCGGTGCCTTATAAACATGGATGCTTTCTCTCTACCCTCTCTTTACAATGAAAATGCTGCATGGAAGAATATGAATGTCCAAAGTTCCTTGCGTTGGCTCTATATGCCAAAGTCAGTCCTGAAGTTAAACAGGCATAAGGCCCACTGATCTCAGAGTTCTACTCACTTATATGAATAATGAATTTAGTGCTGTGTATCAGAAATGGAAGGGCACTCAAAAGGGGAGCAGGAAAAAGAGAATAGAAAGTTTTATGGACTTAAAATAAGGCAAGTAGCAGATGGGAAAAATGGAAAAGGAAAGCATGAATGAATAACTAAGTAATAAACTTTATTCACAGATGTAAACCTTAATTTATGCTAAATGCCATTCCAATGGGTGGGAGGAGAAACAGCTATCAAACAAATAGTTCAGACACATTTGTGAGAATTAGGTGAAGCCTTTAGGTCTTAGTAGGGTGCCAATGTGACCCTTAGCGTCAAAGTCTGGGGAAGTGAACATTTGTTTATGGAAAGTATTTATTTAAGCACGGTTCCACACAAATGAAAAACTAGGACATAAAAAGAATAACTTGAAGTGTAACTCTTCAGCAAGATCACTGCTTACAGCGAATAACTAATTTCAAAGGTCTGCCCGAGGAAACAGAGATGAATACAAAGCAGCAGCAAAGGGTCCAAGATAAAGTCTAGAGAACAGCACTAGTACTGCTAGAGCAAATTAAAGATTACATACCATGGTAATAATTTTTTGCAGAAGCATGACATTAGCTTTGCAGATTAAGTTAGCACTGATTTCCATCACTTCACTAGCAGAATGAACGCTAACATTCAATAAAAAAAACTGATCAAGATGACAACAGTTTTTTTGGCCTTATGTCAAATTCAAATTAAATAAAAAGGGGGATCTATTTAGCAATGGCATAACCTTTTCTCCAAGACATTTGCATTCTCATGCAATTCAAGTTTCATTTGAAGTAATTCAATTCCATACTTCATTACCTTTCTTCAATGCCCATTTGTGTAGTATTGGATTACAAAGAAGAAATCTCAATTAACCAAATTAACAAATGGCAGATTTTTATACTTTCAGAGATACTAGTGATAACCTTATCCTTACAAAGTTGATGTGATCTCATCTCCCAGGGAACTGTATTCTCAGTTGTGGGAACTGATGTAGGAGTTCATTTTAGCCCAAACAAATATTTGGATCTGAAAAGCAATTCTGCAACTCTCTACCCCGCATGGTCCTAGCAGACAGTTTATAGGTGTCAAACACAATAGATGCTACTGAGAGGTCTTTCTACAAGCAAATGTTTTCAATACCATTTAGAATAACTGTAGAGAGATAGCAGGATTCTGTGTACCTAGGACTTGACAGACACATATCAGGGGTTTTAATAAGGGACTGATAAATGACAGGGGGCTGGTGCTGACATTGAACAAGCGAACTACGGATGACTGACAAGAGCTGAAAAATAATTGTAAGTAAGTGGAAAAGTTCCAGATACCACTAACCTGCATTTCTCCAAATCTGTAATAGGACATTTTATACATGAGGCAGTTCAGCAACGTTGGAGAACCTGCCTTGTCTACGCGGAACTCTCCCTGTGGAGTGAAGTAGTCACTTTCCTAAAAAAACAAACCAACAAGGAAGTCTCATTCCCTCTTCTACAAGACTCTCACTGATGGGATTTGATAAAGTGTGTAAACTGTCTTCTGTATTTTAAATATAAGGGAAGTTGTCCTTTAAACAGAAAGTGAGGCTCAACCTTAACTATAGCATAGCAGCTGTGTAACTAAGGCACAGAGGTTGTGCACCATCAGTTTTACTGAACAAATTTACCCCCTAGCTGATATGATCTTGCTAATCCATTTATTGTATGTAAATGTACATGACTTGTTTTTGCAAGTATTTCTATAGTAAACAGTTCTTGGAGAACACCAATATTCTGATATATTGATCAAATAAGGTGTATAATTTAGTTGGGCATCTACCAGAATTAGTATTTTATGCTTTATGCACCTGAACTACTATTAATTATTCTGGAATAACATAACTAGGTGTATGGCTATTGTGATATAAGCATGAACTATAGGTTGTATATACAACACACTTGAAACCACACATTTTAACATTTAGGAAATGGAATTGTTGATTGTGTAGAACAATAAATTTAAAAAAAAGTAAAGCAAAGGCCTGTGGTTACTGTCCCTGGACAGGTGCTTGAATTTTAACTAACTGAGCAGATTGCTCCCTTACATCTGCTCACTTTACAACATTTTCTTTTGTCTACTAAGACTGTTGCTTGTCTTCTCCTGCAATATTCAAGAACTGCAGAACTTGCATCTTGATTTAGAAAATGTGGATATTCCCTACCCTACAATATAAGTAAAATCCTTTTACTCTCCTATTGGCCCATAGTTCAGTGTGGTAGAAATTCATTTCCTGGAACTGTAGTAAAGGAGCTGTTTTTTTAGTTTTTAAACAGTAACTATTTAAATGTTCAGAACATCCCTTTGGTGATTCAGTTCAAAGCTCAATGGTCACACTGTGACCCACACAGGCTATTACAGTAGATATCCTGTGCTTTCAGTGACAGTTTTCAATTTCATAGCTGAAACGTACTAAAAAATGTAAAGTTTTAAAATGACTGACCCTTCAAGACCATATATACTGAAAGACAGCAGACTATCACTCACCGCCAACCAAACATGAAAGAACCCTAAAAAACCATATGATTTAACACATTTTATCAAATAAAATGGTAATAAAACATATAGATTTCCCCCTTGTGATAAGGTCACACCAGAAAAGTGACATTTTAGTTAATGATGGGATTCGAGATAAGATATTGCCATATGGTACCAAAAAAATGGATCCAACAGAAATACTGTATTTTGCCAGGGACACACTACTCCTAGATTTGTTGTTTACATTTCCACTTACCCGGATATCTTTGGGATGCTCGCCCTCTGCTATTCTCACCATCCACAAGAACTTGTTGATATCATCACCAGAGTAGCCAATCACACCTCCAAAAATAATTAAAACATAATCCACATCCAGACTCCTCATGATCTCATATGCTGCTGTCTCATTTGATGACATTGCTTTTCCCACCTACAATATTACAGGCACAAATATCTTAGTATCTGTACAATTGCTTACCAGCAAGCTAAAGGGCCAGATCCTCAGCTGATGTAAATAACTGTAGCTCTACTGAAGTCAATGGAGCTACACCACTTAACACAAGCTGAGGCTCTGGTCCAAAACACATGCATTTACCCTTCACAGACCTTGTTCATCTCATTCTGTCTAAAGAAAACCCATTACTCCTCCATTTATCTGGAAACTGAAGAACCCAATCCCTAGGAAAATTATATTATTCTTCATGGGAAAAATCAGTGTCTGTTGGACTGATCTTTACAGTATATAGGACAGTTATTATACAACTTTTTTTTGCTTTTCTACTGCTTCTTCAAACTACATTTGAATTGCCAACAGATAAAGGAGATGCTGTTTGGCAGAGTGGCCCAGTGCACAATGAAAAATATTTTTAAAAGAGTTGTGATAACTTCAAAATCAACAAATTCTTTAATGCGCAACTTAATTTTCCATTTTTCACTTTCATTGAGTTCATTGTGTCTACATAACCAAAAGGCAAATGTTTCAGAGAGGGGTAGGAATGAGTGTGTTTCTCTCTTTCTTTTCACTCTCTGTTCTCCCCCATTAGATTTACAGGGTGGAGTCATTTAGATTAAAAAACAAAAAACAAAAAAAACACACCACCAAGATAAGCTCTTCAAGTTCAAACACTACAGATAAGTTTTAGGTCAAAAGGTAATATATGGGGAAGAAAATAAAGTTTATTAACCATAGCCAGAATCTCTCATATAACAGTTGTTTTTTCAAAGTTAAAAAAAAAAAAAAAAACACAGAGTTGAGATATAGAGAAGATACACTTACAAGGTCAACACCTGCACCACTTTAAATTTAGGAAGCTCAACAGTAAATGAAAGTATAGCAATACATCACTAAGATATACATTACTATGGCAACTGTTTTATGTGCGAATTCCTTATGTTAAAATACATCAAAAATTAAAATTTAAAGAATGTTAAGGTTGTTAAGTCAACGACTTAAAAGCTAGGAAATGCCAGACTTAAGGTGACCCATGCAACATTAAATTTGGCCTCCTAATGCATATACATTATGATACAATCTTTAATTACATGGTCATATACTATTTTTTCCCACAGGACCCTTCGTTCAGTGAATGGACAGTTATCCAGTGTGTGGATCCAAGCCTTTTCTCTCTCTCTACCGTTTCTCTCCACAACCATTCAAACACTGTACTGAATACAGAATGATTAATATCCACATGGGTCTTAATATTGTGCTCTCCCCATAGTATCGGAGTTCTTCACAAACAATAAATCTGTCTTTACAACACCCCTGTGAAATTGGGTGGTATCTCCATTTTACAGGAGGGAACTAAAGCACAGAGATTACAGCCGAAGATTAGCACAACACAGTATCAAAGCACACGTTAGATTAAGAACTGGCTAAATTAACAGATCTCAAAAATATGTATCAATGGGGAATCATATAATGGGGGTGGTTCTAGTCACCTTCTGCAGTGATTGGTACTAGGTCTGATGCTGTTCAACATTTTCATCAAGAATCTGTAGTGAATATAAAATCACTGCTGATAAAATTTGTAGATGACAAAGATTGGCAGAATGGTAAAGAATGATAAAGACAGGACAGTCATATGAAGTGATATGGATCACTTGGTAAGATGGACCTATTCAAACAAAACATGTTTTAATAAAGTCAAATGCAAAAGTTACACATATAAGAGCAAGGAATGCAGGCCATACCTACAGAATGGGGAACTATATCTTGGAAAGCAGTGAGTTTGAAAAGGATCTGCCAGTCTGGCCCCAGCTGTCTCACATTGGGCATCCAGAAAACAAGGAACACATAACTAGGATCAACTATGAATATGTTTATTCAGTGACTTGTCCTGCATCACACAGGAACTCTATGGTAGGGGCAAGGATAGAATCCAATTATCTAGGGTGGCAGGCAACCTCTATAACCATAAGTCCACCCTTCCTTTTCCTGCAATCCCCTGCCTCATTCGCTTCACACCAACTACTGCAATAAATGTCTGGTGGAGTACTACCTCAGCCTCCTTCACTACATAATCCTGATACATTCTCATATCTGTCCATATGCTGTACAGTGAATGAAGCAGGGTTCCCGTGGGAAAAAATAGCATGTGATCATGTAATTAAAGATTGTATCATAATGCATGGCATCTGACCTGGAAAATCTGAGCCCAAACAGTTAAAGTTTGGAAAAGTTATAAACAAATGAAAATAAGGTCTTATCACAGGAAATGTCAGGCAACCTTAATTATAGGCAGTGCTACAGCTCCACCTATAATACACAGGACTTAAAATTTCTACTCACCTGAGACGTAGGGAATTTATATATATAAAAATTGTGCCTATCCCTTGCAATTCTGAAGAAAATAATTCCAACTATTAACCAAATGTAACTGATATAATGCTGTCTTCCTGAGTCTGCACAGACAGCTCTAGTGACTCTGTTGCTGCTCAGAGCTTTTCCAAGTTTCAGCTGAGTAAAAACTTATCTGAATCTTGTCAGTTTTCACAGAGCTATTCAGAATCTAGTAGGCAGCAGTGAAACTGATGAAGTAGATCAATTTCACTTTAATGCTGCTCAGCAAAACTGAGTAGCAGATGACCAGTTCTGGAACTAACAACTGGGGAAAGTGATTCAAAAACAGAGTCCAGGGAGGGCTACATTAGCAGAGACCAACCCACTCATCCATGTAGCAGCCAGGAGGCTCTAGGAACTAGAAGAGGAACAGAAAACTGCCAGAAGGAGTTATGTTGTGGGAGGGCTTCAAGTTTAGATATCTACAAATTTACATTTCCCTATTTTGATACAGTCTTAATTCTCAGAATAATCTTTTATTTAAAGATAATTTAAGGGGGAAAAAATCAACTACCAAATTAGATTTCGAGATTATCCAGTTCTAGTGTCTAATAATTTTGCTCCATGACAATCTAGTTGCAGCATGTATTTTTTACCTCAATGTAATGCAAGATTGAATCAGCACCACTGTTTCATATTTTGATCATACCGTTTAGATTTAGATATTTTGTATGTGAATTAAAAACATTCTAATTCTTTAATTTGGAAAGCAATCTTTCACACTGTAGTTCTAACATATGACAAACCTTTCTGTGCCCCTTCCATTCCTCATTCTATAGCAATTCTCTTTAAACCACACTATGCGTAAACAACTTACAAATTGTTTTTAGAGTAAAAGTCAGCCAGATATTTTGATGTTTTTAACCTCAGAGTACATAAAACTACCTTCCTTACCAGGGCTATGTGGCTGTTGTTCCAGGTATTGTTATCAACTAAAGTAGTCCGATTGGCCATTCCTGCTATCTGATAGCCATAGTCCCACCAAGACATTACTCGAGCATGTTCATCTGTATTTTGTCTTAGCCAATAGTATGCCTCTCTGAAATCATCCAGGATGTTCCGAGTGCTGAAAGAGAAGCATCAGTTTAGCCTATATTCAAACTAATGTCAGCATCAATTTAACCACTAGGTGGCTACTGCTTTGTGGAGATCTAAATCAATGCTCAAAACAATCTGCATACACACATAATTCTTCTAAAGTAAGTTTGCTGATGACGCACTCAAGAGATTTGATTAACATGATGACAGCTGGCTAGTCAGAAAACAAACAACTTTTGCAAAATTGTATTTTGAATAGTATATTCAAGTACAGAGTTTATACGTGGATGAACTACGTGCATCTTTTACATTATCTGTAAACACAAGCTAGCTTACAAATTGTTTTTAAATTAAAAGTCAATCAAGTATTTTGATGTTTTTACTTCTGACTACATAAAATTAGTTTTACCATTTTGTTGGGATGGGGGAGGGAGAATTAGAAATTGGATATTTATGTCAGATCTGAGATTACAGAAATAGAATGGAAGAAGCTGAAAGGGAAGGCAAAACAACTCGAGATACCAATCTCAAGAGCCCACCAACTTTTTTTTTTAATTTGCCTTTAGAAATTGCCTTAAAATATACAGTGCTTTCTTACCCATCATGATTGTATGAAGCCAGAACAACACTAGGACTGGAGTATGCATTGCTAGTTACCCAAGTGCAGTGGACAGCAAACATCATCAACAACATCAGCATCAACATAGTAACAATACTCTTGATGTTGGGACCCAGTCCTTCTTCTGTTTTTTCCTGTTCAGATACGTGTTTCCTCACTTTACCTGCCTGAATAAACACAAATTGAACTGTTACAGCAGCTTAGACATAAAAGATGTTTTTCTGGCCATGGCAATGGACCCAATAGCTTTCTCTACACCATTGCCAACTCACAATATCATGTAAATAAAAAGATCAATAAAGTAGTTCTCCAAATCTGAATATGTACAGGGAGATTTTTACATCCAGTACCATGTAAAATGAATTCTTCATTTAAAATCTTCCTTAATAGCATAAAATGCTCACATCAGATGAACGCTTCAGAGCCTTGTTGAGGTGACAGTTGAGTGCAGGGCAAAGTAAGAGGTGAAAATAAGGCCATTGTAGTTGAGAAGAGCTACAAAAAACAAAGCTTGCCATTGTTAAGGTTAGGTAGGAGATATTCCTTTTGCACAGTATTTTGGTTAGCTTTATAAACCTGCAGAGAATAGCATGGGTTTCTGAATTCTGCCTCAGAAAAACAAGAACCTCTTTGGTGTGTTCCGGTTTGTTTTAGAGGTGAAAAAAGGAACGAAGAGGCCTAAATATCTTTTTGAGGCAGGGTGAGGTGAGGGAAAGAAGTGGGTATATTTGCTGCAAGAAAAAAAAACAGTAAAGGAAAGGTAACCAAGTCTCCTGTGTTACAATACAAAGTTAGTCAAAGCCACAAATATCAAGGAGCCATGTGCTGCCATCTTCCTTATAAGCAGGAAAAAGGCAATGTAAGGTTTATGAAGATGATCTTTTCATAAAATATATAATCCTTTATTTTTCACTGTATTTGAGAGAATATAATGGCAAGTTTTTGCTATTTAGAAAACACAAAAACATTTGCATGGCAAATAAAATATTCTGACTTCAATTCAGCAAGCTTGTAATTGTGTTATAGCCTGCACACCACTTCCTGGTTTGTGAAACCCTCTCCAGGGAAGCCAAAACACTAAATACATTTTTCTTTAATCCTTAGACCGCTACATAATCTCCTGGGGTAAAACTGACTTTCAATAGGATTTAGACTTCTAAATTGCTTAGGCACTTTTGAAGTTTGTCCCAGGTGAATAACTCCTGTAAGGAAAATGGGTCTGAGCACTAGGAGATTAGAAATGGGTGCTTAACTACAGAGTCATTCTCACTCTATTTCTCTGGTCAAAGAACTATGCATTGCCACTATGAATGACAATGAATGCCAGGGGAAGACAGTGAGAATGACTCTAGAGTCTGGTGGTAAGGCGCTCACCTAAGATGTGGGAGGCCCAAGTTCAAGGCCCTCCTCCAATGGCTTCATTTATCCAGAGTGGAACAGCTTCAACAGGAAAGACTGAATGAGAACCCTGATAACTCTGAGCTAAGGGCCGGATTCAAAGACCATTGAAGTCAGTGGAAAGACGAACTGGGTCTCCCACATCCCAGGTGAATGCCTTCACCAGCAGGCTGACATTTCTATGAAGGTGGCTCTCACCACTGCCACCACCTTCTCTTTCTACAGCCATTTGGTGAATGGCATCTAAGTCCTAACATTTTTTTTGGCTGAAACTATTTGGCAAATTCATGTCAAATTTGTGCTGGCAAGGAAACAGACGTACATTCTTCATAGCTGAAGCTTCAAATGTAGCCCTAATTAGGGCACATTACCCAGAGATAACAAAGGCAGGTCTGAGCATCACTAAGTCCATATAAACGACAGCAACAATTACAGCTACTAGCTAGACGCAGATAGGACAAGCATTATGGGCTACCACTGCTCCATCAGAGCCATGATGGATCTGATAGGACTCCCAGTTTACAAATTATCCTTGTATTAGGTAGGCATATGCCATCAATAAATGGTACACTTGTACCACCAACCCACCTAATTCCTCTAAATGTTTTTCTCTACCAACAAGCAGGTTTGTAGTCTTGTAAGGTTTGAGCTGCAGCCAGTTTGCAATTAGTTTCTCGAACAGGCAGGGGGAAGAGTAGTGAGACTGCAGAATTTAGTTTTGCTGTAAAGAAGATTCAATCCCTGATCCAAAACCAACTGAAGTCAATTGGAGTCCTTCCATTGACTTCAATAGGCTTTCAATCCGGCCCTTAATTCAGAGTTACCAGCGTACCGATAGTACGCTTTGAAAGCATAATGTCCTTTAGTGTCCTCATATTCAGACTGAAATGGGTGACAAGATAGAATCTGTACAGCTAATCCTTTAGGAAAATGAACTTCCAATCCTACCTTTCTGGGAAGAAGGACCAAATACATGGATTCCCAAATGGTTACACTTGGGTGTCTGTTCTAAGCGTTAATATTGAATTTCTTGATGCCAGTGATCCCGATCCACAACAGTAGTTTATAGACAGCTGTAAAATATACTGGGCAAAAAATAGGCTATGTTCTGACCTCCAGGGTGTTTCCCAGAAATAGCTAGAGTAGGAAAAAAGCCTGCAATGCAATTTTACTGTATTTGTGTATTTGGAATTCAAGGTCAGCATCTGCAGACTGAGTTAAGACACACAGTTCAGATTGATACAAGCTCCTTTGCACCTCTATCCTGACCATCAGCCTTCTGCTTTTTCCACTGTTGTGCCTCTCAAGACAAGGTTGATAGTTTTATCAAACTGTTAAGAATGAAGTCAGTGTGTTTAAGTAAAAGTCTGTAGGGCATCTTGTTTAAATTAATAATAATGCTTCACACATGTACACGACTTCTCATCCAAGAAGTGACAATTCCACGAGGTCCTATATCCATTTTATAATAATGCCTTATCAGACTGCAGCAATCCTTGCTTTAAGAGGAAGAAATTCAGCCTGTCAAAGCTCTGACATTGAAGCTTTGAACCTCAGACTATATTGCCCCTTGTTATGAAGGCCAATGAAAAATCTGTAATGCTTAGTATAAAAGAGCATAAGGATATATCAGCAATGCCTCAGAATCTCTTTTGCTCACCTTGTCATATAGGTTCCCTGGGTTTCTTTTGTCATCCTCATCACTGCTGTCTTCTATTGGTGGATTTTCCCTCTTCATATCATCACCCAAATAGTGCTCAAACACATTGGAGAAAGCAATTGCTGACAGCATACAGACCACTGGAGTCAAAGTCAACATTAGACGAACCATCACACCAGCAAAGTAAACAGCACTGATTGCATACAGAGCGACTGCAGAGACAGAAGTCCATTAATGACATTTAGAAAATAACATTCAGCTATTCTCAGAAGAAATTAGTATGTCATTAAATTAGCCTCAGAAATAAAGATAATATCCCCTAAATGGGGTTGACAGCATCTTGGTATATAATGCACATTTATAGCACACATCTTGTTAAATATTGTAAAAAGCTCTTATTGAATAGTTTACAAAGACTGTTACATCTACATACATCCCTTTTATCCCCAAAAGGCTTCTTAAAAATCTAACTTTGCAGCTTTTAGTGAGAATTAGAGCCGAGTTTTGATATTCATTAACAGCTTGTGGTATTTCACCAAAAATGAACTGGTAGAAGGAACAAAATTGTGTAATTTAATTTGATAAAAATACAGCAGAATGGCTTTAGACTGGATATTTTACTGAAACAGAAAAATCAGGTTACAATTTGTAAGGAATTACATAAAAACGGATGTGAATGTAAGTCATGACATATATAATCACTCCATAAGATTTTGCAAATTTACAGGGGGTTGTCAACATTTCAATTCCAAGCACTTACCTCCAACCACTTAAACATGTTTTTGCTAGCAATGTTGTAAGGTAACCCCCTCAGGATCCCCCAGTAGAACAATGTTATCATTCTAGAATACCTTTATAATAGTAAGAGTGCTTTTCACAAGAAAAAACGCAGGGCAGGGAAACTGTTATAGCAACTATTATTTAGACATTGTTGCTAGGACAGTTTCAACCATGTGGACTGTGTCATAAATGTTAATAATTTATTGTTTATAGAAAAGGAGATCTGCAATGGAAATTGTTCCAGACCTTCACTAGTTTAATTTTGAAATTTTGAAATTCACTAAGGGATTATATGATTTAAGTATTAACTAAAAAATGAGGTTCCCCACCCCCACTCTCTGGCCTCTTTCATGCTGGATCAAAGGGGCTGGAGCAGAATTAAGGGACCTTGAAAGCCCTGGTTTTGGCTGGTACATTGAACCATATTAAGAAATTTAATATTTTCAGTCCTATCTCTTGGAAAATATTTTATCATCTCCAGTAAATCAAATTGCTATAAATTGTGTCCAATGCTACGTGGCGACAGCAAACTTTACAAAAGTGTCTTTATCCAACAACACAGTTGTTGAAGCCTTCTTCTAATACAAAATGCATATCAACTTTATTATGGGATGCAAAGCACACCAAACAAAGCAGAACTTTGATGAAGATAAGATTCTAGAAAATAATTTTTGAATATCTTCTTACCAAAGACTCTTTCATCATTGATGTTTTTGATACAGAACCACAGCCCTGCTGGGAAAGTACACACGAGAATATGCAGATCAAAAAAGAAGGAAACCCATGTTGTAGGCTGATGCTCAGACACAGAGGCAATGATGGGGATGTGAATTTTCGCGTACCTTGTTTAAAAAAAATTCAGTTCAAATTATTTTGAAATGATGAAGTTACCAAAATTATATAAATCAGAATTCAAACGCAAATTTAAAAGTAAACATTTTAATTTAAAATGTTAAGACTTTATTCAGCAGAAATTTGAGGTACCTTTTCAATACATGATATGGTCCTATATCTTATGATATTCAAAACAGAATTATTCACACAGACTGGACATATACATTTAGCATGCATATGCAAGAGTGCTAAAAACCTGTGTGTGAGATAACTGTCAAAGATTCATGTACGTTTTGTGCAAAGTCTGCTAAGTCTGTACATATTGCATAGGTATAACTTAAAGGTGTCCTATTTTTAAAAAAAATCTGTCCCCAAATGTTAATGGAACATTTTTAATGATACCGTATGTTATAGACACAAGTGTCTCAAATCTCAGTTGGGGAATATTTTTTTGGTTCAAAGAAAGAGTTCCACAGAAGTTAGAATCTTGATAGGTAGGTGGCAACTATTTTAAAACTATCTACAAACATCTAAAAGAGGCAACATTTTGAGGAAAACCTTCTCAATTGTCAACAAGGGAAAAACTCAGTAAAATGTCAATGTTTGGAACTATATTGGTCACAGTTTCAAGACAGGTTATGTAAATGCTCTCTCCAAACAGTTTGTGGAAAATGTATATATGAGCTTTTATTGATGGGAAGGTGGGATGGAAAGTGTGTGTTTTATATTTCAACAGGACAAATAAAGCACAAGTCCTCTATCCCTACTTACCCGGTGTCCCACAGTGAATAAAACCTGCCACTCCATGGAGCAATGTAACCTGAAAAAGTCAAGGAAAAAACTAATCTCCTTAGATATTTAATTATAATGATTTAGCTATTTCTTCAGATGTCTGCAGAAGCATATATTACAATGAAAGTTTAAAACAGTTAAAGAACTGTCATGAAAACCCATATAATTTATAGAATTATTTCTGTCAAATAGACTTGCTATGATACACAGTTTATATGCATAACTAACAATGATTCTCCTCTTAAGGAACTAAGAATTCTCAGCCTTACAGGACTTACACTATACTGTACAGGTTCAATGTCATCATCACTCACACAACTCAACAAATCATCAAAAGGTAGAGTAGTAGTTAAGACACATGTTCCAAAAATCAAAGACAGTCTATAGCGTTTGGAGAAGGGAGTCATTCAATCAAAATAAAACAGAACTGACTACCTAAATACTTTCCTTGCAAAGTACTGTTCCTAAGTCATCAACATTTCATCTAACATTTGATTTCTGTAATGCCATCACTGCAGTATCTACATGCAACAGTGAATGCATATTAGTATTCGGAGACCCTGATAAACCTTATGTAAAAGTGTCAGGCTTTTTGAACATGGCTCTAACACAAAAAGAAAGCAATGATACTGTAGATCTCCAAGCTGAAAGAACTTTTATTTTTCCTTCCCCTGTCACATTTCAATTTGTCATTTAATGAAAACGACACAGAAAAGTATTAAACTGAAGCATGAAAAATAAAATTTCATCTTTTAATCCATATGGCTTTATACATGGAGTAGGAAAAAGTTCTCTCAAGTCTGCATGTCAGCTGAACATAACTGATTCGAAGTTTTAATCTCTTATTCTATAACAGGAGGTGGTGAGGGCAAGTTTGTGTACATGAGTTTATTTCCCTCAAGCCACACCTTCTGCTTAATCATACAGATACATATATTTACCCTCTGTTTTCAATATTATTTGTTTTACCCTCTATAAATGGATGTAGATGTGATCTAGTTTTACTACTACTAAATTGAAATATATTGTAGGTTCCTACAGAACTGCTCACATGTATCTGAAGGCAGATCACAATCGAGCAAGTTGTGGAAGCATCTGGTAAAATCTATATTTGTTCTTTTTGTAACTTTTCAGCTCAACAGCAAAACAAAAAGATTGCTGTTACAACCCTGACCACTAAAGTTAGCAGCATTTTTTTTGAACAACTATGTTATACATTCATACTTCAATTTGTAAAGCAATTAGTAATGTGTGAATTCCTGATTTGATGACATCAGGGTTCTGATTCAATCAGTATGGTGAACTGGCACATCTCTTTCTTGCTGCCATAGTTTCTAGAATTTTAACTTTTATTTAATTTTTTTTTAAAGTAACTCTAGCAGTTAAGGTTGCTGAGATAGCATCTTTTACACTCCACTCGTGTTTTTGAGGCTATGCCTGCATTTGTAGAAGCTGAAATAGCTCCAGAGGTGCCAACTGTACATTCATATCACTGAGTGCTAACTCAGATATTCAATGATATTTTGGCATAAGTGACCAGGCTTGGGAGACGTTGTCTACCTCCCGCTCCCTATCAAGAAGATATGCCCAAGGAGCCTAAAAGAGCATAGCTGAGCATCTCAGGCACCCTCAAAGGGAAGCCAAACTCAACAAGCCTAGTGGGACACATAAGCCTCACCTAGTGGAAGTCAAACCCAAAGTACCTAGCAGAGTCCAGGAGTGCATATGGACCCCAAAGAGAGGGAGTCAAACCCAAAGAGCCCTGAAAGTCTGCTTGACCATATTTTGAAGATCTGCACAATAAATTGTGAGCAGCATCACGTGTGGGTGGATCTTATTTTGTGGGCGGATCTTATTTTGTGGGCAGGGCTTGGAAGAGAACCATTACCTTTCTGTTCTGACTTCTGGACATTATCAAGTGTATCACCAGTTTTCACAATTTTGAACTGCATAGTACATTATCTCTTTTCCACATTTCCCCCCAAAACCTATTTTATCTGTTCCTTTTCATTATTTGAGAAAATAATGATTTACAATAGTTTTCTACTGTAAATTGTCCCTTGTCTTTGTAAACTACATGTTTCCTAGATTTTGACTTTTTTCTTATATAAATTTGAACTTCTATCTTCAGTGCACTGTGAAGAAGAAAACACATAGGCTTCAAATAACACAGGCACTTGCTTGCCTCATTTAAACATCTTCCAGGCATGTAACAGAATCAATGAGTTAGATACTTTTTCTTTTAAAATTAATGGAGATATTCTATCTCCTAGAACTGGAAGGGACCTTGAAGGTCATGGAGTCCAGCCCCCTGCCTTCACTAGCAGGACCAAGTACTGATTTTGCACCAGATCCTTAAGTGGCCCCCTCAAGGACTAAACTCACAACCCTGGGTTTAGCAGGCCAATGCTCAAACCACCAAGCTATCCCTCCCCCCAGAAAACATGTCTAACAACCCACCATATGCTTAACAGATTGCCACTGACCAACTAGAATTGCATTATACTGATAACCTCTTTAGGTCTGAGTTATCTATTTTAGGTTCAAATCTGGCTGAGGTCACAAGTGAATTTGGTGATCTCATCCTAGCCTACATCAGACATTTGGTAACATCACAAAAAATCCTGTCCAGGAGGCCCAGAGTTGGAACAACAGTGTTTTACAGGACAGGCCTAAAGAGCAGTAAGAAAGAACTACCTAGAATCTGTTCACATACTGCTTAGTTTTAGTCAGACAAGAATTATTCCTACCCATGCTAATTTATGAGCATTCATCACCGTTTATCTTCACTTTGAAGTACACACACAGTTCTCATTTGAGGTCTCTTACCTGTATATGTCAAATAGATGACACTCAGGAATACAACACCAGCAGCTAGTGACACACCCAAGAAGAACAAGGTCTGGAATTCTTGCTTTGTTAGTCTGTCTCTCAAATACTGCAAAAAGGCATAGGCTTGCAGCAGTGCAAACACACCTGGTTAAAGAAAGAGGAAAATTCTTGTTTAAATTCTCCAATAGAACAAGTAATAGCTAGTATACCTGTGGAATCCTTTGACCAAGGCTATGTCTACACTAGCACTTTTGTCCACCAGGGGTATGAAAAACAAACAAAAAAACCCCCCCCAAAAAACCCACCACACACACACACACGCACCTACCTCCGACTGACATAAGTTTCACTAACAAAAGTGCTGGTGTGGACAGCGCTATATCAGGGGGAGACGCTCTCCTGTCGGCATACAGGGGCTATACAGGAGACCTTACAGTGGCGCAGCTGCAGTGGTACAGCTGTGCTGCTGTAAGGTCTGTAGTGTAGAAACAGCCTATGTTGGAATTCTGGGAAACACATTGTATGACCTTTTAAGAAGACTACTGCAATGCTTACCCTTCTGGCCAAGAACCCATTAACACCTATGCTCATTTGATAAGTGATCCACAAGACTAATTTGCAAGTTAGATCACTCATATATCTTTAAAGAGTTAACAATGTTGCTCTTGATAAAGGGAAGGCACTCCTCTATTGAGGAGTCAGGGGACACTACTTCCCATAAGATTCCCAGTTTGTTGTCATTGGCACTTGCTCCAATGATCCACCCTGCAAAAATCTAACACAGGTCTCCTGAAATCAAAACACTAGATCGGGGTCGGCAACGTTTGGCACGCGGCTCGCCAGGGTAAGCACCCTGGCGGGCCGGGCCAGTTTATTTACCTGCTGATGCGGCAGGTTCGGCCGATCGCGGCCCCCACTCGCCGCGGTTCGCCGTCCCGGGCCAATGGGGGCGGCGGGAAGCCGCAGCTACCATATCCCTCGCCCGTGCCGCTTCTCGCCGCCCCCATTGGCCCGGGACGCGAACCGTGGCGAGTGGGGGCCGCGATCGGCCGAACCTGCCGTGTCAGCAGGTAAATAAACTGGCCTGGCCCGCCAGGGTGCTTACCCTGGCGA